AATTACTCAATAGGTTTCTATTGTTTGAACGTTTTACTAGATAACTTTGAGATGACTAGTAAAAAGTAATGAAGCTATCCACTGATTATCGTTGTAAAAGTATTTTAAATTAGATTCTCATACTGTGGTGTGTGCTGATATAAGTAGTGTGTATCATCGGTTGGAAGTGAAATGCCTATCCGCAGAAGACTAAAAAGATAGAAGAAAAGAGAACGACAACAGAGAATGATTGATGAGAAAATGAAGGAACAATAAAGTCTGAGACTATTGATTGACATTTTGCAAATGAAGTATTTCGATAGTGTAATAAGAAGACGAAGGTTATCTTATTACACTATCGAAATTTATCAAAGGGACTAATTGCTTTAAATGAAGTTTTTACTGTATGATTCTCAGATTTTACTAAAGTATTCTGTAATGTTGTACTATACTTCGTTCGATTGTCCCAATTGTGTTCTCTTTCATTACAGTACTAGTGAGTGAAAGTAGGCATATTTTCGATGTAGGATATGTTGTGAACTACGTAAGAACTAACACGTTCATAGAGAGGGATATTAAACACCAGTGCATAATTGATAAGGTCAGAATATTGAGTCAAACGTAGGTGAATAGAATGTGAATTCTGTGAAATCATAAAAAGTCTGTTAGAAGGTGATTCTTGATATGGATAATTGGCACTGTAATAATCAATGCAGAATTACTGACTAACATCACTGAGATTGTTCTCTACCATACAATGTGTTTTATACTCATGTTTCTACAACTGATTAATCACTGGGTATTGACGAATGTCTTGTATAACATGTCCTCATTACAGCAGATCGAATTCTATTGCTCAAATTGCAATGTGGTCACTAGTCTAAGTGACTCGACATCACTCTTTGTATGTTGGGATGTGAGGTAGTTGGAGGTAGTAGACAGGAAACTCTGGCCCTACCAGTTGTAAATATATCACAGTCCTATAGGAGGTCAGTCGCGGTCCGGATAGCTCAGTTGTAACGTCTCTGAATGTGAAATTGGGTGACACGGAATCGAATTCATCAGGGACTATCAGGTTTCTCAAGATTACAGACATACCTCTCTGACAAGTGCCAAATAGCACGAAAACTAGGTCCAGGATTTCCTTCCGACTGCCTCCAACAACTACCTAATATTGATATTTACCAGAAAGGTATACCTGATCTTAATGCAGTTTCAAGAAATGCTAGTTATGTTGTTAGGATAGACAAAACTGTTCATATGATATTTCAGTAAAAACGAGATATGTTCAACTAGACTTACGCCTCATTCTGTTTTGGATAGACAGATCTGAAAAAGATATCTTTATGGATGGGATCATCTAACCTACTCTCAATGAATATGCAAATTAAACCATGAACAATCTTATGTACGAATAATTAAGAAAGACATCATAATTTGAATGGGAACATTAATTGTTGGTAAACGCATTTCGAAATTCCGAAACTGTGCAAAACTTAATCTGATTCACTGGAACAAGTAACTTTAATGTTTCACATGTACATTTGATATTTTTTCTAGCAATATTACCACACAGTGTCATCTTCAGTTAAACGTGTAATAAACATAATCAGTTCCTCTAATTTCCCACATTGCTGAGAAAGTATTATTTATGATAATCATATCTGTTTCCGACCTCATTAGATAATCTTTGAGAACTATGTAGCAAATTACTGAACATATAAGTTATGAGTAACGTGAAACTTATTTAGCGAACGACTCATAGTTCATTTATAGATAGTAGACGACAATGAGAGAGTATAAATTTATAAGCGAAAACACATTTCATACGATGATAAATCAGTGTAAAACCGTTACAGTTAAATATCAAAATATTGTGAGCGAAATCTTAGAAAATGAGTTTAGCAGTAAGAACGATGTTGGAATTCAGTATTTATTATACACACAAATTAAAAAGATACTCCGATGGATATTAAAATGTTTCCGAAGAAATATAAATGGTGATGAAGTATAATCCAAAATTCTATAGAAATATGCACTAGTGGAAAATGTATCTGTCTACGCAAACAGCTTCACTAATTTCTATAAAAGTAGGTTTATTAGGTCATTCTATACATGTTACAGTTAAAAGTATTTATTGATATGAAAGCAATATTTTTTGCAATGTTGGAAACACCTAAGTAGTTAGTCCGTAAACAAAAGCATCCATAGAATGGACCGCGATTAATGTTCATCAGTATACAATTCTTTTTATTACCAAAGGTGTATGACTACTTAGTAATGTTTAATGGTTATCTTAAAGACCACTTCTTAACTGATCAGTTCAGTGGGGACTTCACTTAAATTTGTATTCAGTAATTGTACTTTATGGATTAGTGCCATTATCATATAAAATCGAACGTCCATCTTTCAGCTTGTCAGTGGGTGAGCTTATCAACGAGCTGTGGGATCTCATTCGGAGCATTATTTCACTGGATATGTTTGAACCACCTTACTAACAAGTACCGGTCAGCATGCGATCTCACGATTGTCTAATTCAGTAAGATTGAAACATTCAATATCTAATGTAGTTATTATCATTAGATTGATAGGATAATCCTAAACATTAGTGCTAGCGAATGATTTGTTCTGATTACTTGTGATTCACTTTCATCTATAACTCATTTTGCAATTCAAAACTATATTCACTAATCAAGAGCACGATGGTTAATTTTCTTTCAAAAGACTTCAAATTGTAAATATAGCATCAAACTAAATGTAGACAGAGTAAATGTAATCTCCACTATAACGACTTTGGTACTTTTTCTCACCACAGTCTAACACTAATCAGGTCAAAAAAGCCTGCAAGACCTTGATTACTTCTAAATATTTATTCAGGAAACAGTAAGATTTCGACTGACTAGAAGAAAACACAAAAACATAGAATTATCTGACATCAGTGTCACGTACACTTACTAGATTATGGTTGTATCCACCATATGAGTCTCAATTACTTGAAAACATGTACTTCACATTTCACTATCGTCAAAAAATTAGCCTTAGAGAAAATAATTGCTCTATGGTCTAAAGAAAAATATATCTTAGTCTGTCTTATCAGTATTTTTACATTTGATCAAGTAACAAAGGTCAAAGTTTGTGTAGGAAGCTATCCAATTAATTGTCACTCCAGTACTGATTGTTGGTGCTTTCAAGAAAATAGACTAGTATCACTTTTGTCGCGTTTAACGTCATATTTTTCCAGAAAAGTTTATCAGGACCCTATCTACTTCTATAAACATAAACGCACCACATTTTTATTATGAGGAAAGACGAAGAAATCCATCTTCTGTCAGCCTTTCATTAAAATAGTAACTTCATCAAAAAGCATTTGGATAAAACTACAATAATAAACTTATCTTAATTTAGCAAATATTCGACATGAAATACTTTAAATGGAAATGATATTATCTAAGTATAAAGTAGTCGCGGTATATTTTCGATCAATAAAATGGATTTGCGAATAGTTTTTCATATGGTGAATTTGATTTGCACCACAATGAGATATCAGGTAAAAAAAAGGATTGAAAACTAAAGAATAGTGAAGAACTAGTTCATTCTAGTGTAAGACTTATCAACAGCAATGCATAGTATCTGTTAATGAATTAATTGTCAAATAACATAATGATCTAGTAATTTGTGAACTAATTTAGCATAAATAGTGGTAAATATCAGTATAGGGTGTTAAGAAGATAACAAAATTTTTCCGTTTTAAATCACAAACTGGTTCTAGTTAGACAACTGAACACCTGGGAGAACTAAATAACTGTTTCGTTCTAGTACAGGAAACGTCGGTACTGTTAATCTATAAGTCCGCCACAGGGAGTTAAGCCCAAAACCTTAGGTCTTGGGTGCCAATGTTTAACCTATAATCCATTTGGTTGGGATTCAATGGTGTTAATTCCCAACTCTAATCAATTTACGATATTGCGCGAACATCTTCCATCGTCTCCAGAGTTCTAGTGAGAAGACGTTATCAGTGGAATTCGACCATGTCTAGTAAAAGACAGTTATCCACCATAGATTGACTTTGAATATTCAATACACTGAACTAAAAATCTAAACCAACTGAAAAACAAATGATTATGATTTTCAAAAGAACTGGATTGTAGTTATTTAACTATAGTTAAACGGGCATAACTTATTTTTCTACATATACAATTGTCCCCATTATTAATTTGAGGGTCAAATAGACAGATTTTACGGAATTGTATTAGCCAGTTATAATTTCAAGACTGATTATATCCAAGCCCGCTCTCATTGTAATGAAGGTACATCTAACGAAGGAAACAAGATCACTAATATCGTTTTTCGTCAAAGTGACATATAATCTACGCAAAAAAGCAATTAAAAACTAATTATAAATGAAACCATATCGGATAAAGTATAACTTCAGTGTTTTATATAAGTAGCTGGTTATGATTTACTGAACGAAATATTTCAGTCGGTATCGGCATGCGAAAATTTTGTGGTAAGTTTTTTTTATTATCCTGTGATCAATTACATTAATTTGAAGGTCTAATTACTTGACATTAATTTCGAATCTCAACGCGAATATAAACATATTGGATCTAATTTCTAACGAATGAACATATAACAATCAATAGGCTAAATATTAAATAAATTTAATACTGTCACTAAATTTATGCTTCCTGTTAATAGTTATAAATAATAAATAAATTAATTCACCTACCATTGAATGGTACACTGTTCCAATGTATCACAATACTGAAACATTTCGATTCGAATATTTTAATTTGAGCTTAATTAAGACAGTTTATATATAGTTGAAATCATGAGTCAATTGAAGCTAGACCACCATGAAAAATCTGGAAGGCCGTTTCATCCTATTGTGGGACTCCTCAGCAGTGCAGTTTATGTTGTAATACATCAATTATTTTATAATCTTCTATTTTACAGTAGTTCATAATTAAAATATAAACTATAATTTATCAAAAAATTTACTTTCCTCTTACTTTCTTTTATAACGAGGTATGGCAACTTGAACCGATGCATATATGTGCCTGGTCCTACGTTGTAGCTGACTGACTGACTTTATAAAAATAAAATATATTTGTAAATATTTCATAATCAGCTATTTATTATAACATTCCTTCGAAAGAAAACAGATTACATAGGAATGAATATATTACACTGTCTTTTTTAACATTGAAATCACTGTTTTATAATTAAGAAAAATGTAAAATTATGGCAAAATATATCTTACATGGTACATATTTTATATTTTAATTTAAAGAGTAAATATGATCAATGTTCTTTTTTTTTACTTTGGTGGAACAATTACCACTGGTATATGAGCATGATGTAATACATAATCAGAAACACTTCCAAGAAAAGTACGTCGAAGTATACCAAGACCTCTACTTCCCATTATAATCAAATTTGCATTATGATCTTCTATTGATTTTAATAAAGCTGCACCAGGTCGATTGTCTACATGAATAAATGCTTGACAGTTTATACCATATTTTTTTGCTTCAGCTATATATTTTTTTCCCAATAACTTGCCTTTGTCAATGCTATCTTGCATTATTTTGGTAATATCGGTTAATGGTGGAGTTTCCATTGTTAATCCAACTGCAGGTGTAGCATAAACTGGTTCAACAATATTAACAAATGTCACAATATCATTTGAACTCCTCATATTATTCAAATACCAATGAAACGCTCGTTCAGCATGTTCACTTCCATCAATTGGTAAAAGAACTACTCTTGATTTTGCTGAAGATTCACTCATCCTGTGAAAATGTCTAATGAATTTAGTGTAATGTTTTATATATTTGGGATGTTTATTTAGATAATCATATTGGTCAAAGCTGAGTATTTTGATTGGCTCATTGTTTAGCCTTGACGTAGTCCAATAGCTTTGTGAGATTGTCTAGGCTGTCCAAAACTAAGTGATAGACATGTATCATTGAACTGAAGAATAATTAGTAAATTTGATACAACATTTCAGATGTTTACATAAAAATGGATAAAAGAACGACTACTGTTCTATTTTACTATTTTTATGTAGTATCACGTTAATTAATAGAAATGAGGCTAAATAGTGTATCAAAGTTATAATTAATAATCGAGGTTTATTTTCAAAATGAACAGAGAAGACGAGGGAATCAACTCCTTTTAATAAAACGTGACTCAATATTTATAGTCTGACAAAATATAAGCTACAGACATATGATGGGTAGAATAAACAATACACCCATATACACTCATATAAAAACAGTCAAGGTTAATAAAGCGAATAAGGTCAAAATGTGACTGAAGACGAATAAATAAATTGGTCTATCTGCAAGCTATAATAACCCATATGGGCTTGACATAGTACCAGATCCTACAGAATAAAGTAAATAAATTATTAAATATGCAGTCATCTATGGCACTAGGAAACAACTAGAAAGGAGAGTCCAAGGCAGAGTTGCTTGGGGAAACTTGGTAGATGGCCTGTGTTCCACAAGAAGCAACAGGTTTAAGTAAGTCATCTTATACGACAAAATCAGTTCGCTATAGAGTAAGTCAGTTAAGGATTATGAGCAATATTTCCGTGTATTTTAATAAAGCAAAAACAACAAGGTTTTGGGAATAAAATTAAGTTTTTTTACAAATTATCTCTCGAAGTAGAGATGGATAGTGGCTAGCAGTGGAATCCAGGACGCGCGTTTCGTCCTATTTGGGACTCGTCAGCTGGATGTACCTGCATCTCAGAGTTGATGTTCACTCTGAGACTCGAACCCAGTACCCTCGCTTCAAACGCCATCGCGTTATCCACTCGGCCACTGAGTCCTGATAGCCACTTGCTTGTGCGATGGGGTGAAGTTTAAATTCAACTTAGTATTGTTTGTTTGAATCTTCCCATCGATTTGTTAGGACTGCAACTGGTCAGTCTCTAATTGGCATATGTGCATACTGTGCGTATTGCCTCGATATACCTTAATTCACAAGCATGGTTAGCAGAGATGGATAGTGGCTAGCAGTGGAATCCAGGACGCGCGTTTCGTCCTATTTGGGACTCGTCAGCTGGATGTACCTGCATCTCAGAGTTGATGTTCACTCTGAGACTCGAACCCAGTACCCTCGCTTCAAACGCCATCGCGTTATCCACTCGGCCACTGAGTCCTGATAGCCACTTGCTTGTGCGATGGGGTGAAGTTTAAATTCAACTTAGTATTGTTTGTTTGAATCTTCCCATCGATTTGTTAGGACTGCAACTGGTCAGTCTCTAATTGGCATATGTGCATACTGTGCGTATTGCCTCGATATACCTTAATTCACAAGCATGGTTAGCAGAGATGGATAGTGGCTAGCAGTGGAATCCAGGACGCGCGTTTCGTCCATCTCTGCTAACCATGCTTGTGAATTAAGGTATATCGAGGCAATACGCACAGTATGCACATATGCCAATTAGAGACTGACCAGTTGCAGTCCTAACAAATCGATGGGAAGATTCAAACAAACAATACTAAGTTGAATTTAAACTTCACCCCATCGCACAAGCAAGTGGCTATCAGGACTCAGTGGCCGAGTGGATAACGCGATGGCGTTTGAAGCGAGGGTACTGGGTTCGAGTCCCAGAGTGAACATCAACTCTGAGATGCAGGTACATCCAGCTGACGAGTCCCAAATAGGACGAAACGCGCGTCCTGGATTCCACTGCTAGCCACTATCCATCTCTGCTAACCATGCTTGTGAATTAAGGTATATCGAGGCAATACGCACAGTATGCACATATGCCAATTAGAGACTGACCAGTTGCAGTCCTAACAAATCGATGGGAAGATTCAAACAAACAATACTAAGTTGAATTTAAACTTCACCCCATCGCACAAGCAAGTGGCTATCAGGACTCAGTGGCCGAGTGGATAACGCGATGGCGTTTGAAGCGAGGGTACTGGGTTCGAGTCTCAGAGTGAACATCAACTCTGAGATGCAGGTACATCCAGCTGACGAGTCCCAAATAGGACGAAACGCGCGTCCTGGATTCCACTGCTAGCCACTATCCATCTCTGCTAACCATGCTTGTGAATTAAGGTATATCGAGGCAATACGCACAGTATGCACATATGCCAATTAGAGACTGACCAGTTGCAGTCCTAACAAATCGATGGGAAGATTCAAACAAACAATACTAAGTTGAATTTAAACTTCACCCCATCGCACAAGCAGGTGGCTATCAGGACTCAGTGGCCGAGTGGATAACGCGATGGCGTTTGAAGCGAGGGTACTGGGTTCGAGTCTCAGAGTGAACATCAACTCTGAGATGCAGGTACATCCAGCTGACGAGTCCCAAATAGGACGAAACGCGCGTCCTGGATTCCACTGCTAGCCACTATCCATCTCTGCTAACCATGCTTGTGAATTAAGGTATATCGAGGCAATACGCACAGTATGCACATATGCCAATTAGAGACTGACCAGTTGCAGTCCTAACAAATCGATGGGAAGATTCAAACAAACAATACTAAGTTGAATTTAAACTTCACCCCATCGCACAAGCAAGTGGCTATCAGGACTCAGTGGCCGAGTGGATAACGCGATGGCGTTTGAAGCGAGGGTACTGGGTTCGAGTCCCAGAGTGAACATCAACTCTGAGATGCAGGTACATCCAGCTGACGAGTCCCAAATAGGACGAAACGCGCGTCCTGGATTCCACTGCTAGCCACTATCCATCTCTGCTAACCATGCTTGTGAATTAAGGTATATCGAGGCAATACGCACAGTATGCACATATGCCAATTAGAGACTGACCAGTTGCAGTCCTAACAAATCGATGGGAAGATTCAAACAAACAATACTAAGTTGAATTTAAACTTCACCCCATCGCACAAGCAGGTGGCTATCAGGACTCAGTGGCCGAGTGGATAACGCGATGGCGTTTGAAGCGAGGGTACTGGGTTCGAGTCCCAGAGTGAACATCAACTCTGAGATGCAGGTACATCCAGCTGACGAGTCCCAAATAGGACGAAACGCACGTCCTGGATTCCACTGCTAGCCACTATCCATCTCTGCTAACCATGCTTGTGAATTAAGGTATATCGAGGCAATACGCACAGTATGCACATATGCCAATTAGAGACTGACCAGTTGCAGTCCTAACAAATCGATGGGAAGATTCAAACAAACAATACTAAGTTGAATTTAAACTTCACCCCATCGCACAAGCAGGTGGCTATCAGGACTCAGTGGCCGAGTGGATAACGCGATGGCGTTTGAAGCGAGGGTACTGGGTTCGAGTCTCAGAGTGAACATCAACTCTGAGATGCAGGCACATCCAGCTGACGAGTCCCAAATAGGACGAAACGCGCGTCCTGGATTCCACTGCTAGCCACTATCCATCTCTGCTAACCATGCTTGTGAATTAAGGTATATCGAGGCAATACGCACAGTATGCACATATGCCAATTAGAGACTGACCAGTTGCAGTCCTAACAAATCGATGGGAAGATTCAAACAAACAATACTAAGTTGAATTTAAACTTCACCCCATCGCACAAGCAAGTGGCTATCAGGACTCAGTGGCCGAGTGGATAACGCGATGGCGTTTGAAGCGAGGGTACTGGGTTCGAGTCTCAGAGTGAACATCAACTCTGAGATGCAGGTACATCCAGCTGACGAGTCCCAAATAGGACGAAACGCGCGTCCTGGATTCCACTGCTAGCCACTATCCATCTCTGCTAACCATGCTTGTGAATTAAGGTATATCGAGGCAATACGCACAGTATGCACATATGCCAATTAGAGACTGACCAGTTGCAGTCCTAACAAATCGATGGGAAGATTCAAACAAACAATACTAAGTTGAATTTAAACTTCACCCCATCGCACAAGCAAGTGGCTATCAGGACTCAGTGGCCGAGTGGATAACGCGATGGCGTTTGAAGCGAGGGTACTGGGTTCGAGTCTCAGAGTGAACATCAACTCTGAGATGCAGGCACATCCAGCTGACGAGTCCCAAATAGGACGAAACGCGCGTCCTGGATTCCACTGCTAGCCACTATCCATCTCTGCTAACCATGCTTGTGAATTAAGGTATATCGAGGCAATACGCACAGTATGCACATATGCCAATTAGAGACTGACCAGTTGCAGTCCTAACAAATCGATGGGAAGATTCAAACAAACAATACTAAGTTGAATTTAAACTTCACCCCATCGCACAAGCAAGTGGCTATCAGGACTCAGTGGCCGAGTGGATAACGCGATGGCGTTTGAAGCGAGGGTACTGGGTTCGAGTCTCAGAGTGAACATCAACTCTGAGATGCAGGCACATCCAGCTGACGAGTCCCAAATAGGACGAAACGCGCGTCCTGGATTCCACTGCTAGCCACTATCCATCTCTGCTAACCATGCTTGTGAATTAAGGTATATCGAGGCAATACGCACAGTATGCACATATGCCAATTAGAGACTGACCAGTTGCAGTCCTAACAAATCGATGGGAAGATTCAAACAAACAATACTAAGTTGAATTTAAACTTCACCCCATCGCACAAGCAAGTGGCTATCAGGACTCAGTGGCCGAGTGGATAACGCGATGGCGTTTGAAGCGAGGGTACTGGGTTCGAGTCTCAGAGTGAACATCAACTCTGAGATGCAGGTACATCCAGCTGACGAGTCCCAAATAGGACGAAACGCGCGTCCTGGATTCCACTGCTAGCCACTATCCATCTCTGCTAACCATGCTTGTGAATTAAGGTATATCGAGGCAATACGCACAGTATGCACATATGCCAATTAGAGACTGACCAGTTGCAGTCCTAACAAATCGATGGGAAGATTCAAACAAACAATACTAAGTTGAATTTAAACTTCACCCCATCGCACAAGCAAGTGGCTATCAGGACTCAGTGGCCGAGTGGATAACGCGATGGCGTTTGAAGCGAGGGTACTGGGTTCGAGTCTCAGAGTGAACATCAACTCTGAGATGCAGGTACATCCAGCTGACGAGTCCCAAATAGGACGAAACGCGCGTCCTGGATTCCACTGCTAGCCACTATCCATCTCTGCTAACCATGCTTGTGAATTAAGGTATATCGAGGCAATACGCACAGTATGCACATATGCCAATTAGAGACTGACCAGTTGCAGTCCTAACAAATCGATGGGAAGATTCA